CCCCCCCCCAGTTGTCAGACCTCCCCTCAGACTTTGGCTTCCTCTCTCTCGGGCAGTCTGACCCCCTCTACTGTCCTTCAGCTCCTTACTCTTCGCTCTGTGACTCCCTTAGACCTCCCTCCCCATCTTCTTACTCCCCCAGTGCTCCCTTCTCCTCCTCCACTCTTCCTCCTGCTCCCGTCTCCCTTCTCTCTCCCTACTCCTCCTCACCACCTTCCAGGAACATCATCTCCTCAGCTCAGCTCCTCCCTCCACCTCACCGTCCCTCCTCCACTCTAAGGAGTCCTGTCTGGAAGGAGAGAGCAGAAGAGGAAGAGGAGAGGAGGAAGAGGAGACGGGAGGAAGAGGAGGTGGAGGAGCGGCAACAGGGGGAGGGGGAGAGTGCCTCAGAGACTTCAGAGAACACGGGTGGTGTCGGGGGGCGGGGCTTCCTGCTCAGCCCTCACCACTCCAACATGAACCAGGAGAGTGACGAGGAGGAAGAGATCTTCAGACCAGCAGGTGAGTTCAAGTGCTCTGAAAGAAGAAAGTCTTGGGTTGGGGGAGGGTCCGCGTGAGGATGTGAGGTCAGCAGGAGGAAGCTGCTCAGGTGGACGCGTTCCCAGTCTAATGATTTTCTCCCGTTTCAGTCCTACGCCGCTCGCTCTCCGAGGGTTCTCTGCTGCAAGAACCTCGGTCGCCCCGCTTCCTGTCCGACAGCACCATCCACCGCCTCACCCATCCTGTGAACTTTGACCTCAGCCCCAACTCGAGCCCCGCCTCCCGAGTCCCCTCCCCCCACACTCTGAGGAAGCAGCTGACCGGAGAGGGGGGGTCTCTGCACCAAATGCTGATGCTGCTCAACGGGACCAAGGTAGGGACCAGAACCGGCTTTGACCACGAACCAGCGTCATGTGACCGCACAACGCATAGCAGCAGGTTGATCCTTGTGCTGATGTCAGAGTCAGCCGCAGGTAAACGGGACGACTGCACCAGGAGGGCGTCTGGTGTCAAATCAGACGTGCAAATTGTCAATAAGACGATCTACAAGCTGATTGGTTGAGGCCCAGGTTAATGACGATTTACTGTGGGTGTGGTTTGCACGCGTGCAGAGGAAGATCCTGGGGTTAGAGCAGAGACCGGTACAGCTCGGGTTCTTCGGTTCTAACAAGTGTTTTTGTTTGTCAGGCTGGAGAACCCAGGAACCGACAGCTGAAGAAGAAAACTCTGTACGTAAACAAACACACCGTTGTTTTGTCTGGTGCTGCTTCCTCTCGCTCTGATTGGTCCTCGTTGTCTCCTCAGAGCAGCTGATGTTCGGAGCCGCCTGGCGTTTCTGCGAATGTGGAAAAATGGCGCTGGTGTCCATGGAAGCAGTTTGGAGAAAGCGCTGAAAAATAACAGGTAGCAGAGCATCGGACCTGAACCCGAACTAGACTGACTGCAGGTCAGGAGAGGCAGCAGATCACAGGTCATAACTAATCAGAGTAAACTCTCCAGGTGAAGCATGTCAGGTGTTTCTGCAGCAGTGGCGTGGAGGTGACATCATAGTCTGAAGCTCGACTTCAGCGCCCCTGGTGGACGTCAGAGGAAACGCAGGTTTTCCTGAGACGCGTTTGTTTTGTTTTCCAGACCGTCTGCAAAGGAGGTGCTGAGGTGGGCGGAGAGTCTGGAGTCCCTGCTGTCCAATCAGTGTAAGACTTCCTGTTTGTGTTTAACCAATTTAACCAATAAGGGGAGGAGCCAGCATGAGAAACGCCTCTCCACTAGATTAATGTCTTGATGCTCCATCATCCAGGTAAGATTGAGGTTGATTGTTCACCTGGACGTTTCAGTGGGAGAAACGTTTCGTCGCTCATCAAGTGACGAACCAACAACTATTGATCAAAGACCACTGATCAGTGATTGGTCAGTGGTCCCAGACCTCCACAGTGAGAAGAGTCCATTGTTGGGATGGGAGAGGTCATCATCATCTTCCTAGCTTCCTGTTTATCAGGTTGGAACCTGCAGTCAGCTGAGACTGAAGACGTCCCCTGATGATGATGATGATGATGATGAAACGTTTCTCCCATTGAAACGTCCAGATGGACAGAATCAACCTTTTGGCACCAGATTAATGGCGTGCTTCTCTTTTCTAATTGGTCAGATGGTCTGACGGTGTTCCGTCACTTCCTGAGGTCAGAGTTCAGCGAAGAGAACCTGGACTTCTGGTTGGCTGTGGAGAGGTTTAAGAAGACACGCCCCTCCAACAAGATGGCTGCCAGAGCTGCAAAAATCTACGACCACTTTATTTCTACGACTGCAGCGAGACAGGTAGCGTGTGTCTGAGCTGCGATTGGCCGGGTGTGTTTTTGGTTGTTTCCTAATATGGTGATGAAACCTCCAGCGATGATGTCGTTACAGTCCAGAGGCTCGGTTAAATTTAAACCTGACACAGTCGGGATTGTTTACTTTATCGATCATTGTATTAAAGTAAAGACTTTAATCAAACATGTTGGTCCACCTGGTCATGTGACACAGCTGCTTTTTTTCAAGGTCAATGTGGACTCGGCCATCAGAGAGGCAACCAATCAGAGCCTGTGCGTTGGTGTTAGCTCCGCCTCCTTCCAACTGGCGCAGGAGCAGATTTTCAACCTGATGGAGACGGACAGTTACCCACGGTTCCTCAAGTCCCGCCTCTACACCCAGCTGGCCAGTCACAACACAGAGCAGCGGATCAGACCAACCAGAGACGAGGGGTTGATCTGAGCTTCTGATTGGCTGAACAAATCTCTCAGTAGCATTCTGGGAGATGTAGTATCGAGTGTTTGGGACATTTACCCTTTTAACAACTTGATTCTTACACTAATCTTCTTTTTTTGCTGATCTTTGTTTATCTAGAAACATTTAACCCGCCGTGTGAGTAAAACATGGCCTCTGACCTTGAACCTGCCATCTTTAGACTGTTATCCTTCTCATGACCCAGGTGAAGCCGTGCTCACAGGTGAAACATCAGCAGGACTTTCCCATCACCCTCGGCTGCATGTCGTTGAGTCCAGAGCAGACTCTGAGTCATGTTTTTAGCTAACGGCTAACTGATGTATCTCTGATTAAAGCTGACTGATGTCACATCAGCTGTCAGACCTGTTTCCTCTTCTGTGACTCGCCTCCATCCAGCAGGAAGTCTGACAGGCTGCACAGGTGAAGCAGGTTGAGTGAAGGACTCACCTGCTGCTGTTGTTTATCACACTGAACAGTTTTAACCTGAAAATCTAATAAAACAGACCAAATGACCTCGAAGTTCATTATTCAGTCTTTAAGTCGTGATAACAGAGCGCACACTTCAGCTGGTGCTTCCTACGGTTCAGGTCCTCAGTGATGGAGACCAGATACCTGCAGGTGGAGCAGCACCTGCAGGTATCTGGCTGTCAGAGGTGTTTGAAATCACTTTTTTGTACTGAGAGTACTGAAGAAAATTCCACCAATCGAGGTGTTGAATCTTCTAAATGAGCCTCACAGTCCACAGGAAATGAAACAAAGGTGGTGTCTTTACAAACGTGAACTCCACCTTTAATGGAGTCTGAAAGAGATGCAGCAAACATCCCAAACCATGATTCATGTGTATAGCACTTTAGAAACAGCACATGGCTGCACAGCAGGAATATAAAAAGGACAATAACAGAGTTAGTTACACACTGAGGCAGAGCCAATAAAAAGGCCTGATGTGAAGATCATCCCAAAGCTTCAGGGCCAGAGGAGGCTCGGTCTCTACGTTTCAGCCACGATTTAGTGACTGAGAGCAACAGCTGCTCAGCTGACGTGGGGCTGATGTACTGGACCATTTCAGGATTTAAAAACCAGTAAAAGCATTTCAAATGGATCCAGTGTGACCTTTGTCACGATACACCGACACAGGTCATCTACACTCGTGAACAAACCTTTGAGTCGGTTACTTGGAGTTTTACGTCTTCATTTCTTCCCTTTGTTTGATTTCCTTTTTTGTTTTATTGTGAAATATTTTAAATTCCCGTTTTTGTGTTTGTCTTAATGAGGCTGTTTCTGTGTGGTTGGTACCTCCTGGTCCAGGTGTGGAGGCATCCTTCCTCACTAAGAGAGGAGCTCTGAGGAGGCGATGCTCACATCCAGCTGCAACAGGAACACAATCTTTGGCGTTTCTGTTGACGCACCTGTGTGGACACGCCCATCAAGTTTGTGTTGTTATCAGTAATTAGACACAGAGCATCACAAAGAGGAGGCCTGAGCAAGTTTTATTTTGGAGGAGCAAAGTGAGTCATAATAACACTGATGACTCCATAAACACATTAATTAGGACACAGGAATGAATGCAGGCAGTGATTTATTGATTTATTGATCCTCCATTGACTCATTTATTCACATTGATTCTTACTCTGCTGATCAGCAATGACCCAAACAGACACACTGAGAAGACGTTTTATTACAACAAACTACATCAGACGCTCCGTCCACCACAGAAGAAGAGGAAGTCTGTTTCTACCCGGCCAGGATGTGTTTGACGAACTCGGTGTAGTTGATGTGCCCGTTGGCGTCCTCCTGTCCCGCCATCAGACGATCCACCTCGTCCTCAGTCATCCTCTCTCCCAGCGTGGCGAGGACGTGGCGGAGCTCCGCCCCCATCACCGTGCCGTTTCCCTCCTTGTCAAAGACCCTCAGCCCCTCCACAAAGTCCTCAAAGTTGCCCTGCTCTTTGGAGCGGGCCACGTGCTGCAGCATGGGCAGGAAGCTGTCAAAGTCCAGCAGCTTGGCGTTCAGCTCCTCCGCCTTCGGCCTGCCCAGCAGCTTCAGCACTTCCTCGTTGGTGGGGTTGTGTCCCAGCGCCCGCATAACATCGCCGCACTGAGCGTAGGTGATCTTCATCTCGCCGGCCGGCGTCTCGTCGAACAGAGTGAAGGCGTCTTTGAACTCCTCGATCTGGTCGGGGGTGAACTCCACCACGATGCTCTTCAGGTCCACCTCGGGGGGTTTTGGCTCCGGCTCCGCGGGCTTTGCTGGAGGAGGAGGCTCCTCCTTCTTTGCCTCCACCTTCTTCACCTCTGTCTTTTTCGGTTCCACTTTCTTTGGCGGCATGTTGCTGCAGAGCACTGGCGATGGAAAGTGACCGTCTGGTGTTTTATAGGAGCCGGCGGTGGGCCGAGCGAGCAGGAGCAAATGGCAGGGAGGAGAGAGGAGGCGACCAAAGATGGAAGAAACCTGGAATGGAAACACTGAGAGGAGATAAGAGGCTGCAGATAAGAAGCTTCCAGAAGCAGCAGAGCCGGTCTGAACCGGAGCCTCTGACCTCCATCCTCCTTCACATACGATCTTTTCTGTTTCCTGCTAATCAATAGTTTTTAGTTTCACAGATCAGCTATCCTCTGCATCGATCTGTGAAGTAATCTCTGCACACCAGGCCCCTAATTCTGAATTAAATTCTGGATTTATCCGCAAAGAGAAGCCAGTCTAGGAGAAATCTGCTCTCTGTCTGGACTTGGATTAACTGCAGATGGAAGAACGCAGTCTTACATATTTGTTTAATATGTGCGTTGAAGGACATGTCCTGGTCAAAAATGACTCCAAGGTTCCTCACAGTGTTACTGGAGGCCAAGGTAATGCCATCCAGAGTAAGAATCTGGTTAGATACCATATTTCTAAGCTTTTCAGCGCCGAGTACAATAACCTCAGTTTGATCTGAATTAAGAAGCAGAAAGTTAGTGGCCATCCAGGTCTTTATGTCTTTAAGACATTCCTGCAGTTTAACTCATTGGTGTGTGTTATCTGGCTTCATGGACAGATAACAGATGTATGCTATGCTATCTGATGATGCTGCCTAAATCAGGGGCATCAAACATGAACGAGCTGAGAGCCTCTGCTGTCGTCTCATTGGAGCCACTTTAGTACAAAACAAGAAAACAGACACAAACATCTGAAAATGTTTTGTTTGTTTAAATTTCAAATCTTGTATAAGACGACTGTGCCTGTATAACTTAACCACCTCCATCATTACCGTAGTGCACAGTACCTGTAACACCTACAGCTGCTCTAATAGGATTTTATGCTGCACTGAGGTCTAGCAGGATGACCTGTGACAGGTATGATTGAATCAGCTACACAAACATCACTGTGCTTCGTAACAGGAGCAGGGAGTGCTGCAGTACTGAGTGAGCGCCGTGACCACGTGAGAGCGCCACCTAGACAGACACTGAGGAGGAACCGGTTCATCAGGTTAGACACAGGCTGTAACATCTGTGGTTTCACACCACCTCCTCCGCTTTTATCTGCGGCCCTTTCAGTTCAGTTTATTTGTGTCTCGTTATCTCCGAGGTGACCTCATGTGTCATTAACATTCCCGCTGTGATAAGAGGCGATGTCCCATGATGCTCTCTGTCCTGCAGTCTGGAAATAACTCAGCTGCAGCTCGGCTTCATCTTTCACGCTGATCACAGACGTTTAAAGATCAATGAATGAAGCAGATCTTTGATCACAGCAGCACAAACAACGTTTTCAAAATATAACTTTAATCTCAAACACTTTAATGAAGCCTCCACCAATGAGACATTTAGGATACAGTCATGTGACACAGCAGGAACCCAGCAGTGATTCACGATCCATGAACATATTGATTAAAGAGGGTGGAGTCAGCGCTGCTTCAGTCTGCGACACCATCAGCATCTGACACAGATATCAATCAATCAATGAATCACTGATCAATACCGTCCTCACAGAGGAGATTATTATCAATAATTAACCACCTGGTGGATCTTTGAGAAGCCATCTCTCTCTGATGGCTGAGCTCAATAAAAACCCTGAAAATCACACATTTCACACTGAGCCTCA